CGCCTCAATCCAAACCCCAATCAAACAAACATGTGCACATAATATCATACGCTAGCATATATAACAGTCAAACCGATCTAACAGATCATCAATCATAGCAACATCCTATAACCAGAATACAGACCTAATCGATCACTAACATAGCATCATCCTATATACCAGGATACCGACCTAACCAGGTCACTACGTATATCACCATCCTAACTACCAAGATGTAAATCAATAAGCATATCATGCAATAAACCCGGATATAAATCCGATAAGGGCCGGCATTGGTGCCTTAGACCCTGTTGATATAGTGAGGATAACTCACCTCGCAATGTCGATCTCAACTGATGAATCGAACTCCCGAACCGCTGTCTCACCAAAAATCCCGAACTATCCAAATAATAAACACTATGTCAATACGTGGAATATCAATCTTGACTAAGGGTCCACATAACCCATTTTGTCCTTTCTCTTTATTGGGCCAAGGCCCAATTGCCAAATCCATGATCTTAAAAGCTCATGTATCCAAAGCCCATCAATGGCCCAAATTTCCCATTTGGGCCTAACTCCCTAATTGGGGCTCATTATAGGGCCCCTTATCAAAACTGGCCCAAACCTCAATTATTCAGAGGGCCCAACAAGGCCCAAGTCTAATTAGTCCAAAAAGTGGCCCAATCCCGAAGCCTAATTCATCAAAGGCCCAACAGAGGACGTACGTGGGGCGTACTCCTCTGGTACGTTGGGCGTACTCTTCCTGACGTTGACCACCATCGGGGTGGTTGACTCAATACGCTAGGCGTACAGAACTTACGTTGGGCGTACGTGGGGTTTTTCCAAAACCCTAATAAGTTCTTAATGGCTTAAGCACTTAAGCCCATATTTCAGATCCATCGACCAAAAGTGTCTTAAAGCCATAAAATTTTGAACTTTATTACTTTGGACGTCCAGAAAGCTCTCAATCCATGGTCTTAATCCATTAAGACCTTTCTACTTCCTGCATGGGACAACTTAACCTATTGGGACCTCATTTTTATCACTTGGGACCTCTTCAAGGGTCTGAAAGGACAGCTTATCTTGTCCAAACCACATCATGCACCAATTTGGGGACTTTTGGGACAAGAATGGTTTCATAAGGCTAGAATAGCTAGATCTATATCATGT